CAGAGCAATGATCGAGGTCTGGATCGATCACGCTAATTAATCAACCTTGGGGCTTGATCCCCACTAGTAGTTTATAACCTCGGAAACTTGAGTGTGGAATTAATTACACGGGAATGATTCGATGTTAGAATCGGCGCCCAATCCAACTCTGCCTCGTGTGGACCACGTGACCAGGACAAGTATACACATAACCAAATGGAAACAATAAAATGCAAATTAATAACAAATTTAATTTATTAAAAGAAAACTAAAACAAAATCTAAATATGTTCACTCCCTATCACTTTAACACTCCCTACTTGACCTGAATGGCAAATGAGAAGACTATCCCTATAATTTACAATAGCAACTATACCTTGGGCGACCAGCTCTAGCTGTTGTGCTGGTCTTGGGGAGAGGTAAGATGGTTGACCTCTCCCAGCTGCTCCCGTATTCACACTAATTTTTTCCTTGTCTGGACTACCCCAGACAGAGTATTGTATCCTTCCGCCTAGTCAAAGTCCTACCCAGTTACTAGCAAGGTTTAAGTTATAACAATTAACCTCTGTTGTACTTAATTGATCCAGACTGGTTGAATTATTTTACTGAATTAAATTACAAACATCTAACGGCAGAGCTGTTCCCGATCACAAAAATGGTTATTAAAACTTTGAGAAATAGTAGACCTGTCAACCCCTGATGACCTATGACCGCCGGTCACTCCGCCTTAAAAGTTAGATCTGATTCGTGACGTCACTGATGGTGACTTAAACTCAATAATTAGAATACTCTTGATATTGTATCCAGTACTATTATACAATACAATTTTAATGCAAAATGAATAAAGGCTAATTTTCTCTAAATTACTGAATACTATAGGATGGTTCATTATACGCAGCTATGAACAAAGATGCCCGCCATTTGTGACTCAGACCTGCTAATTCCCAGGGGACTGGGCGTTGTTGAGAGGTCAGGTCCCTACTCGAACTTCTGGAACCTTCTGGAATAATTCTTACAACAGCCTAGTTTGTTACATGCAGAGCAGACACGCGACCGTGCCACAACACAGGTGAGCCAAGTAACATACTAGGAGCAGCGCTAAAGGTGTGCCCGAAAGCCATGCATACTCGAGGCAGTAGGCATAGTATGTACCGTTACCTGAATAAAATGCGAAGTCAAGGGAGAAATACGGCCAGAGGCGCGCGCCCTGCTGAAGACGAAGCAGTACAGAGGGGGAGGAGGCGGCGCAATGCCAAACCATCCAACACCAAGAAGCAGAGGAAGAACAAAGTGACACCCCCAGATATAAATCCAAAACACCCTCAGCATCCTGAGGGCCACGACTGGAGGGAGAAACGAGCAAGAAGCCGTAGAAAATAACGAGAAACGACGTGAACACACGAGCATACCTCCCGTAAACAAAACGCACACCGCGGCCCCAGCACACGAGGTACGAAACGCACCACCCGTCCACCGGGAGGAGTGGCTCGTACACCAGGCGGACACACAAATCGTACACACAACTTACAGACATCGTGCAAACACCAGGAAGGCGTGCGGAACGAAGACAAAGAACGCCGAAACTGGAAGTAGAGACGACGCGAAAACAAAACAAGGCGAAAACGAAGCAAAAGAAAACAGATGATGGAAGGGAACCAACAAGGCCGACAAAAGACCCGAGGGAAACCACATCGAAAATCAACAGACGTTCCAATAATATTGGAAGGTACGAAGAGACTCGCGAACCAACGAGAACCACGACAAGCACCCCTGACCAAGGAACATGCAGGGACAGCGATACGAAGCAGTTTAGGCACTATGTACTAGGTCAATATAGAAATCCATCAATGTTTGTTTCACACCTTGTATGGATGTACCTTACCTGGACACTTTTTTTTTTTTTTTAACAGCATCGCAACGTAAGAGCGAAAAGGGTAAGGAAAAGGGGGTGAAACACACCCCCAGGTACGACGGGACCGACGAACTCGAAGGGACACGGAACCGAACCCAGGGAGGGGTATACCCGAAAACAACAGGAACACAGAGGGAAGGAACAACCCCACTGAGGAACTGCCAGCCCCCCACCAAAGGTACAAAGACCCAAGAGGAGCAAAGGGGGCCAAGGCCCCCCCAGGCAACCCCTCCTTAACCCCGGGAACCTCTACGGCATGACTCAGGGCCAAGCTGCACCCCCAAAGCCCCAGCTTAACAAGGAAAAGCCGGGGCAGCCGCGCAAACACTAATGAAGGGAGCCCACTGGTCAGACCCATATGGCACGGCTGGAAGAACCGACTCGAATGCCTCCGCCGCCACCCCGGAAGAGGAAAACCCCTGAGACCGCCCGAGTCTCAACCCAACAGGACCCCGCCCCAACCCCGAAACCCGCCTATGGTTCGGAGCAGGAAGCAAGGGAGGAAGTGAGTAGAATAGAAGGGGAAGAACAAGGAGCGGAAGGAGCCAGAGTCAAAGCGACCCCCACCCCCAAGTCCAGACCCCAACCACCAAAACGGGGCAGCCACGGGGCCGCAAACAACCAAGAGCGTTGCAGCAACATACACCCAGCAAGCAACGCCGCAGCCGCCTGCACCTGATTATCAAGACCAGTGGCCTGGGTGATGGAGAGCGCGTACCGACAACAATCATCGGACGACTCCGGGTCACAAGAACAAGGACCCAACAGGCAGCATGGCGGAGGCACAAACAGTGAGTGTCACCCTGAGACAAGGGGACAGTTCAACCGTCAAACTCGGTTTGACGGGGACTCCGGGGACACACCTAGAGGACCATGGAGTCCCCGTGGGGTTTCCCAGGGCCCTTAGCCTTTGGTACACGCTAAGGGAAGCCCAAGCAGGGTACCGCGAACCAGCGTCCAAATCTACCAACAAACTGCTAAAGCTGAACCCCCGGGACGTGTCCACTTATGGGGGCCAAGCGGGGAGTACCGCCAACAGAAGAATTCGAAAGAAAATCACCTAGAACAGGAAAGGGGGACCATAGTAAAGGCACACCCCCCACCACGCAAAAACAAAAGAAAAACCCCGCAAGACGACAACGTACCCAGGCGGAACAGAGCTGGCCGCTGTTAATGGTGAAAACTAGCTGTGCAGTACCCCGCGCCCCTACCAGTGACGAAAACTACTCTCTACCCAGAGACAAACCAGGGCAACAAAACCCCAGCCGACTCCAAGGGTGGCCCAGTACCGAGCAGTAAAGGACACAGCGGAGGTAGAACCCAAGGCGACTTGTGGAAGGTGGCCCCAAGGGCAGTACTTACAGGGCACCTAGGGAAGATAGCCCTAGGCACATGCAGCCCGAGTACCGTGGAATCTTACTCCTGGCTCACACCCAACCGGTAGAGACAGTCCACACCACAAGGCAGACCGGAGCCAGAGGCACTCGACCAGCCAGTAATATCATCAGCCAAGAACTGCCAGTTGGATCGCCGGCGTGGAGGGTCTGGGGCTCCTCCTTCCCCCTCTCGGGGAGGGGGGGGTTGCACAGACGGTGGCGCGGCGACGTGATGATGTCATGCTAGTTTGATCATTTTGTTTGGGGAGTTCTATCCACTCGTTCGGCTTTCGGTAGCAATAATTTCACCAGAATAGGGGTTTGTTTTGGGGCACCTACCTTTCTGGGTGCCTGTCCCGGTTGATGGCAGACATAGAATGCTCCCAATCACAAGGGGGTTTCTATAGGCCATTGCTCCTTGTGCCTCTCTGAGGGGGCCAGGTTCTGGCTCGTGGTCCCCAGTAGGCAAGAACTCCTAGCACTTTGACTGATGCCAGAAAGTTATACATATCCATTCAGCCTGGATAGCTCCGGGGAACGATGGGGCTCCCCCCAGAAAATACTTATTTTATAACTGCTTTAATTATTTTATTATTTCGAAGCCGTAGGTCACTGAACTGTGGCGACAAAATTGAACAAAACACGCCTGGTGTTGTGTGCACACGTATTAGACCCGTCCACTCGCGCTGGAATTGTGCCACCAATAACATGAATAATTTCTCAAATAGCAGATATCTATCATATTTACAGTATATTTTTGGTTTTATTTAGTTTAGTTTAATTAGGATAATAAAGAGTTATTAAAATGCCAGTTTTAGAAATTATCTATTAATCTGAAACGTTTAAAGTCATGGGTCACTGAACTATGATGACACAGATGAAAGTGAGTAAAACCTCACTATAAAGTGAGGTTTACTGTACAGTATTCTCTTATCTGTCCACCTCACTCATCTTGTTTCATCACAGAAAATGTATCTAAGAAGATTTCAACACATTAGCTTAGCTATTCACGCTTCAGGCTTTTAATTAATTTACAGATACATGTACCACAAATCAGTGAACGAAAATCATTGAAACTCAGTCGTTCACTTGTGCGGACCACTCTGGCTGGTATTTGGTTAATATGCGTCGCTTCTTGTGTGGACCATTCTGGCTGGTGCTTGATTCATATGGTTCACTTGTTGTGTGGTCCACTTGTGTGATCCAACTTGTCATATGAAGGAATTATTTATTGTTATCTGTGATAGAATGAAAGAGTTTTCCACCACTCTGTGAACTCTTTCCCAACATCGTAAGCTTGTGGACCACTTGTGCGGACCACTTGTGTGGTCCACTTGCGTGATCGAACTTGTCATATGAGCGAATTATTAATTGTAATCTGTGATAGAATGGGAAAGTTTTCCACCAGTCTGTGAACTCTGTCTCGACATCGTAAGCAAATCCGAACATCCCCTGCTTCGGTGAACCATTGTTCGTCGACCCGGATGAGTAAATCCGGCCTGAAAAGTGTGCGAACTAGCCAGAGGGTCGTCGGGTGCGTTGAATCAAGGTTGTACTGTATATGTATTAGTGTATAACTAAAATATATTTTTTTTTATTTGAATGAAGAAAAATGCATTTATGATGTGATATTTTTTATAAAGGATAATGTTTTGTAATTAAATGGAGGTAGTGATAGGCAAACTTCTACTTAAAAATGATTAAGCCTTTAAGATTAAAATTATTAATGCACAGGCCCACCAGATCCACCAGAGAATGTGGTCATCAAACCATCAGCCGTGACAGCTATTGTGACTTGGCACCTACACCTGAAAGAAGAATGGGAAGGTTTCCTGGAAGGGCCCAAGACCACATTTCATCTACGGTACCGACCACTGCTAAATTCTCAGTGGCTGGTTTTGCCACACCACATAGCACCATCACAGGTGAGTGTTTCCTTATGTGCACCACTGGATTTGAAACTTGACCCTTATACAGTGGCACCTCAAATTACGACTGCCCTTGCTTATGAATTTTTTGAGTTACGGTGTCAATTTTGTCGGAAAATGTGACCTGAATTACAACCTTTGCCTCGACTAGCAACTTTGTTGATACATGTATCGGTCGATCCGTCGCGTGCTTCCTGGTGGCACAGCTGACCCTGCCTCAGTTTACAAGAGCTTCCCGCTTAGTGAAGAGCGTGCCTGTAAAGAATTTCATTATTTTTGTGCGTTTTTGTTTTTTATCCCCTAAGCTGCTATTTGGTCTTCCACATTCACAGGCTCAAAAAAAAAAAAAAAAAAAAAAATTGTATAATAAAAGTGTTCATTTGTGTTCCCTAATCATGGAAAAAATAATAAAATAATCGTCAGTGGCATATTTTGGCCGCAGTGGGGCGGGAAATATGGCAAAAAAGAGGCGTTGACAGAGCAGGCGCCAGACGAGGTCTGCTCCGCCCCAGCTGTCAGGTGGGAGTTGCTGCAAAGATATTATTACCTTACTGTTTCAATGTCTCCGATTGATTTTTTCTAATTTTTTTGCAGTAATAGTATTCAATAGTGTGTAGTGTGATATATTTATATAATAAAATGTGCGAATCATTGCTATACTCAAAAGTATTGTGATCATATTAGTGATTCAGTTATTATGTTCATAAAACAATAAACAAATAGTTTTGTATACACAGGTTATATATAAGTTTCTGCATGTTTTGTTCACCATAACAAACCACTAATTTGGTATGGTGAGTCAAAAGCAATGAGGAGTGGCCACTCGCCACACTCCCTCAACAACACCTGACTTGCAACATTCCTCCTCCCACCATACTGTTTTAGCTTTTATTCACTATATACAGACGTTATATATAAGTATCTACATGTTTTATTCGCCATAACTACACAACAAAACTGGTATGGTGAGTTCAGACAATAGGAGAGGTTGCTAAACACAGTCAGCTGATGTCTGCCTGCCTCACTGGTTCATGGCCAGACACACTAACATTCCTCCTTCAAGTATACTATTTGTGGTGTTGTTATACTATATACAGATGTTATATATAAGTATCTACATGTTTTGTTCACCATAACTGTACAACTAAGCTGGTATGATGCCCAAAGAGCATAGTGGCCACCCCTTACACAGCTTGAGAAGTCATGCTGATGATGCCACCTTCCTCACCAAAATTGCTTCTCAAAACACTCCTTTTGCTGTTATTACACTATATATACACATTATATATACATATCTACATTTATGTTCACCATAGCGAACCACCAAGCTGGTATGCTGAGTCAAAAAGCAGCAAGGAATGGCCAGCCAGCCAGCCAGCCAGCCATACTGCCATACTGTTTTTGCTTTTATTCACTATATACAGATGTTGTATATAAGTATCTGCACGTTTTGTTCACCATAACAAACCACTAAGCTGGTATAGTAAGTGCAGACAGCAGCAGGTGGCCACACATTCGGCAGACTACGCTACATACCTCCCACCCTCAACATTACTCCTCCCATAGCACAGTGCAAATTATCACAACAATCCTGCTATTATCAGAATCCTGGTCATTTATATCTGTCAGGGGTCTTCTGTAATACTATCATCGCTAAATAATACCAATTACAGTACATATATTTTCTGTGGGGGGGGGCAGCCCCTACGGCTCCGTGGAGCTATCCAGGCTGATATGGATATCCCTAACTTTGGCATCAGTCAATGTGGGTGGAGTTCTAGGCCTATCGAGGACCACGAGCAGAACCTGGCCCCCTCAGAGAGGCACAGGGAGCAATAGCCATAGAATGCACATGTGATTTTGGAGCATTCTATATCAGCCATCGACCAGGACAGGCACCCAGAAAGGTAAGCGCCACAAAACAAACCCTAATTCTGGTTAAGAACAAAGAAAATAGACAAACGAGTGAATAGAACTCCTTAATTGAAAACGAGCAAACGAGCATGACATCACACGAGCCGCGCCGCATGTCTGCGCAGCTCCCCTCCTCCCCGGGAGGGAAAAGGGGGAACCCCAGACCCCCGCGCTGGCGACCCAACCTTCAGTTCCTCGGTTGATGGGATATGGCTTGGTCGTTGTAGTTCCAGCTCCAAATTCTTATTGTTCTCTGCCTCGGATTAGTAATTCTCTTAGGTGGTGTGCGAGCTGGGAGTAATATTCACAGGTACTCGGGCTGCATGTGCTTAGGGTCACCTTCCCTGAATGCCCTGTAAGTAATGCCCTGGGTCTATCTCTGTAGGTCGGTTGCTGCTTGGCAACTGACCACCCCGAGTGTTTTTTTTTTTTGGGGGGGGGTTCCTCCCTGGTTTGCCTTGGGGTAAGTAGTAGTTTCTGGGGGGAGCCCCGTCGGCTCCCCGGAGCTTTACCGGCTGATATGCTTATGTCAGACTTTGGCATCAGTCATGTGTATGGAGTTCTAGGGCCTACCGGGGACCACGAGCCAGAACCTGGCCCCCTCAGAGAGGCAAGGGGAGCAATGGCCTATAGAAACCCCCGTGTGGTTGGAAGCATTCTATGTCTGCCATCGACCGGGTCAAGCATCCAGAAAGGTAAGCATTCCAAAACAAACCCCTATTCTGGTTAAAATTGCTACCTAAGCCGAACTAGTGGATAGAACTCTTCAACAGAAAACAAGGAAACTTGTATGACGTCATACGTCACCGCGCCGCTGTCTGCGCAGCTCCCCCCTCCCTGGGAGGGGAAAGGGGGAGCCCCAGACCTCCCACGCCGGCTATCCACCCATCAGTTCTTCGGCTGATGCTATAGGCAATGGTTATGTGCTCCGGCTCCAGTGGTTGTTTCAGCACTGTACCTAGAGTGTGGTGTCTGTTTTCTAGGTGGTGCGTGAGCCGGGAGTGATTCTTCAGTACTTGGGCTGCATGCGCCTAGGGTTCCCTTCCCTAGGTGCCCTGTAAGTACTGCCCTTGGGGCTTGGGGCCACCTTCCACAAGTTCCTTGGGTCCTGCCCCTGCTTGGCCGTTTACTGCTTGGTTTTCGGCCGCTCTTTGTGTGCTCGGGTGTTCTGTCTCCCTTGTTCGCCTTAGAGTAAGGGGCAGTGTTTGCACTGGTGCGGCGCAGGGTACTGTGCAGCTTGTCTTTACCAATCATAGCGGCCGGCTCTGTTCCGCTTGGGTACGCTGTCCTCTTGCGGGGTTTTCTTTTTCTTTTTGTTTATCTACCTGGTGGGGGGTCTGCCTTCGTTCTTGCCCCTTGTGTCCCTTGTGTTCTGAGTATTTTCTGGTGGTACCCTGCTAGGTCCCCGTGAGTGTACACGTCCCAGGGGTTCAGCTCTTAGAAAGTTGTTTGGTAGCTTTGGGTGCCGGTTAGCAGTACCCTGCCTGGGATTACCTGAGCGAGAGTCCTCTTAAAGTAAACGCTCGGGACCCTGGGAAACCCCTGGGGGCGCGCGGGTCCGATGGATGTGACCCCAGAGTCCCCCCCCCCCTCGCTTCCAGCGAGTTTGAGGGTTGCTCTCACCCTTTGTCTCTGGGTGACTCTCTGTTTTGCCTCCGTCTGCTGCCTGTGGGGTCGGTGACACCTTCGACCCGGAGTCCTGCGAGTTTGGTTGCTCGTTGTGGCTCGGTTACCCAGTTGTGCTAACAATGCGGGTGCGGGCAGCAGGGGCGTTGCACTTGAGCCTTGGTGGTGGCAACGTTCTCGTGGTTTCCTCCCTGGGAGCCCCGGGGCTGCCCCGTTGTAGTTCGTTTTGGGACTTGGGGGTGTTGGTTGCTTCGGTTCCATCCACGCCCCCTTGTCTTTCCCCTGGATCACCCTTCCTACCTGCATCCGGTTCCTTACCGTCTGTAGGTTCGGGGTGGGGTTTTTGGTGGTGTTGAGACTCGGGCAGTCTCGGGGAATTCCCCTTCCGGGGTAGTGACTGGGGCATTTGAGCCTGTTCCTCCAGCCGTGTTGTATGAGTCTGCCAGTGGGCTCCCTTCCTTAGTGTTTTCACGGCTGCCCCGGTTTTCTGGTACGGCCGGGGCTTTGGGGGCACGGCTCGGCCCCGGGGCCTGTCGTGTAGGTTCCCGGGGCTGGGGAGGGGCTGACTGGGGGGGGCCTTGGCCCCGTTAGGCCCCGTGGGGGTTTTTATCCCCCTCTAGGCGGGGCTTGTGGTTACGCGGAGTGGGGTCTTTCCTCCCTCCCCACTCGCCGTACGTGCTGTTGGACGTCGGCCCCTCCCCGGGCTCGGTTCCTTGGCCTTTGAGTCGGTTCGTTCCGTCCTGTGGGTGGATGTTTCCTCCAGACCCCATTTTGGGACGGTGTTTTGGTCATGTTTCCCCGTTCGATGGGGTTCTGCGTGACTTCTGATCTCGGGTGCGCCTGCGCCTTCGTGTGCCTTCGGGACTAGTGTTGGCTTCTGTGTTCTCGAGGGTACGGGAAGGTTTTTCGCTACTTCCCGCATTATTGGAACATCTGTCGGCTCCTCGTACTTGTCGCCCTGTTGGGCTACTTGTCGCCCAGTTGGGCTACGTGTCGCCCGGTTGGGCTACTTGTCGCCCGGTTGGGCTACTTGTTGCCCGGCTGGGTTCCTTTTTGGGCTCTTTGCTTCTTTGGCCGGTTTTATTGTTCCTGCTTCCTCTTTTGGCTCCTTTTCTCGTGCAGTAGTCCTGGCTGGCGCCTTCCCGCAGGGAGGGTGTGCGGTTCGGCCAGCGTGTTATGCGCATGCGCCGTGGAGTTTGTTTTGGTCTGGGCGGTGTTTCAGTGCTGGGGATTTGCGCCCTTTTTTGCTACAGTGCTTCGCCTCTCGTTCTTCTCCCTGGCTGCGGTATGTTCCCCTTCGCGCCGGGGGTGTCCTGGTTCCCAGCTGTGGGGAGGACACCGCGGTTTTCCCTGTGTCATGGGTGTGGACCACCTCCTTCGCCTCTCCCTGTTCTCCTGCGGGTCCGGCAGGGTCCAGCTCTGGCGTCTTCACCTGGCGGTGCTCCCAAGTTCTTCTG